AAATATAGAACGATTTCATTTTAATCCAATTCCATTAAATGAATATTCAAGAAAATTATTTCATAATATTGAAATATTTCATATTTATAATAAATATAATGAAATATTTAATGATGGAAGAATATTTAAAAAATAATATGGAATAAAGTACGATATTAGTTATTCAATATATTTAAAAGAGAATGAAGAATGAAGAATGAAATATATGTAAAAATATAGAATATACACACAATATGATAGAAATCCATATGTGAATACAATACCATCAGAAGTTAAATCACTTGGAGATTATTGTTTTGAACATTGTTATGAATTATTATCAATTAATATACCATCATCAATCAGTGGAATAGGAAGTTATTGTTTTTCAGAATGTTCATCATTAACTTCGATTTATATACCTACAACAATGACTAAATTAGAAAGTGGTTGTTTTAAAAATTGTACACATTATCATCAATTAATATACCATATCTATTAGTAAATTAGAAGATTGTTGTTTTTTTAATGTTCATCATTAACATCGATGAATATAGACAATCTACAATTTATTATTAAAGAAAGAATATTTGTGAATGAACCAGTGTTAGTTAGTACTGAAATACAAAAGCATTTAAAAATAATAAATAGAAAAAATATTGAAAAGAAAGATATTAATGAATTTATTTTTCCATCATCATACTGAAATAGGTTAATGGTGTTTTTATAGATGCATATCATTAAAATCAATTAATATACAATCATCTATTACATCATTTGGATGGAGATGTTTTTATAAATGTGAGTGTAAAAAAGAATTAATGAAAAATGAAAGAACCAACAGATTGTTTTAAATAGTGATGAATGAAATAAAAATACAATAAATGATACAATATAAATTGAAGTAGAAACAAATTATAATTGATTATCATTTATATTATTATTATTATTATTCTTTTCTTATTTATTCTTTTTGATATTACTCTTTTCTCTCTTATTGTTGATATATCATTCTTTATATTTGTTTTATAATTCTCTTTTTATTCTTTATTTCTTTTTATTTTATTTTTATATTCTTATTTTTATCTTTCTTTTTTATTATTTCTTTTTCTTTATATCTTTATTTTATATCTTTATTTTCCTTTGTTTATTATTTCTTATATATTTTATCTATTTATCTTCTTATTTCTTTGTTTCATTTTGTTCTTTTTATCAATTCAGAATATACATTATATTTTGTTGTAATGCTTATTGAGTAATGTAATAGAATCTTGTAATGAAAATCAAACAAGAAACAAGTATTCAAGTTCAAAGAAAAGAATGAATGAAATAACAATAAAATACATAATAATTATGATAAAAGAAATAACAAGAGAAAAGTGAATAGAAAAAGAAGAATACAAATAAAAACAAATAAGAAACAATGTAAATATAATGATAATAAACATTATACAAATAAGAAATCTAAATTATTAACAAAAAAAGAAATTAAAATGAAAATTAAAAGAATAACAAGAAAATGGGAGAAATGAGAATATTCAGAAATACTTAAAAAGTATGAAGGTAAAGAAAAGAGATGGTACAATATTGTCCAAGAATTATATTCAATAAGAATAAAATAATAAAGAAAAACAAAGAAGAAAACAAATAGAAAATAAAATAATTGAAGAAGATATTAAAACAAATGAAAAATGAATCAAAAACAAAGAAATGAAATAAAAGTACAATAATAAGAAATTAAAAATAACATAAATAAAAAACACAAGATAAAGAAGAAGAATATAACAAATAAGAAATTAACATTCTTCAAAATAAAATCAAAGAAATAGAAGAAACTATTAAAGAACTTCAAACAAAAAAGAAAGAATAAGAACAAATTATCTCCAATGAAATAATTCAAAAAACATGAAGTACAATTAGAAAAGAGTTTGAAGAAGAAATCGAAAAGATTCAAACACAAATAAACAATATTCAAACTATATATAATGAAATAAGAAAATTCTAAATTAAAATAATAAAATATTTCATTACAATGAAAAATAAATGAAATATAAAATAGAAATAACACTGAATATCAAAAAAGTGTAATTGAAAACTATGAGATTACAGAAAAAACAAAAGAAGAATTAAACAATACACAAATAGGAAATGAAGAACAAAAACAAATAATATCAAATCATCATCAATTTATTATTTATTTTTTTATTTCAGAAATTAAGAAGAAGAAAACAATGATATTAAAGATAAATACATAACAAGTATTGAGAACATCATCACCATGGACAATACAAATGAATAAAACTACCATTATGAAAAATACAATATTAGAAATAAAAGAACAAAACATTGAATATCAAAAAACAAGAAATAATAATCAGTCAAGAAGAGAAGAAAACACAACAAATCAAACAAATAGAATTTTAATTGATGTGTTGTATTGTTTTGCAATTAATTTGTTAAATAAGAAATTAAATAAGAAATTAAGAAATGAACAAATAGAAAACATAATAAAAATGATAAATTTCAATGTAGTAATGATAAAGAATACATTAATAATATTAAAAAGTCACATAGAATAAAATAAACAACTAAAATATATATTAAAATGAAAATAAACTCAATCATAGAAAATAGAGTGTAATTCAATAATAAAAAACATTATCATAAAAAATAACACTACTGATATTGATGATGAATATCTTATCATTATCATCATTCAATTAAAATAAATGAAATAAATCAAATCATAATTTGGAATGAAATATATAGAAATTATGATAATATCATTATATTGGATGATTTAATTTTAATCATAATGAAAATAAATAACTAGAAACATGAATTAATATAATATAATATAATATATTCATATTAATTGAAAAAAATATCATCATCAATAAATTAAGTATTTATGTATTAGATAAAAAAGAATAAAACTAGTCTGTTATTTATTATGATTATTGTGGCAGACTACAATATTAATAGAGCCTATTTGAAGAAAAGAAATATTCACAAAGAATTAAAAAAAAAAAAAAAAAAAATAGAATATAGAAGAGAAATTAAGAAATATTAAAATAATTGTACTAATAATCTCTATAAATTAATTAGTAAATACAGAAAGCATTAAATTAAAAAAATTAAAATTGATAACATAAAAGAAATCAAAAACACTGTAGCTAAAACATGAAGGGTGATATGGAACATGCCTCTATCACAACAACATACACAACTGAATTAATTGACAGTATTATTAAATTAATCTATCTCCCTTAGAACAAAGAAACCAATTCTATTAATACTCACTTTATTGCTTTTATTAAGAAATAAAAATAAATTTTTTCTTTTCAATTTTTAATTCAATTACCATTTTTTATAATTGAAAAGTGGAACGAGGTTTTGATATTGTAATACGGTCATAATGTATACACCAGCATGTTCATATACATCAGGCATTGATGCCATAACAGGGTCTCCACTTATTCCATCAACAGCTTCACCACAAGGAATAAAATCTGGTCCAGTGTGATCAATCATCCATTGGATTCTATTAGCTGTTAAAGATTTGTGTCCATCAATCTCATCAGCTAACATCTCAGCCCAACTCATAAACATAGTGGTTACACCCCATGGTGGACTAGCTTCACCAACTTCTTTACCAGCTGGATTAAATTTAGACTTAAAGAAATAAGGGTCATTATAATAACGTGAGATACCATATGATAATTTAGTCAAATCACTTCTAATCTTATTTAAGTGTTTTTTAATTCGTTCTTGATTAACCACAATATCACTGAACAACATAGTTGCAGTAGATGCATCAATTACTACTTTTTGTTCTTTGCTATCAGACCAAATGGCTTGTACATAATATTGACCTTCTTCATTCCAGAAGTATTGATCAAATGATTTACTAATTTCTTCTGCTCTATTTATTAAGTCATCTGCTCTATTAAGATCTTTATAAATATCTTTTTCGATCATAGCAGCACATAACAATCCATGGTGTCCTTGAATTTGAGTAAATGCATAATATTGTGTAGGTAATGAATTTCCAGTCCAACCATCACTGCTTTCTTCCCAAATAGAATAATCAGGTTTGATTAAATTATGATAATCTCTTTGCATTAAGAAATCTTCAAGAGTTCTAATTCTTGTTTTAACTGAATCACTTAGTAAAAGATCAGTTTTTTTAGTTTGAGTATAGTAATAATAATAAGCTGTTAAAGCAACTCCAACTGAATCATATTGTGGCTCAACAAAATCACATATTTTACCAGTATACCAATCATAGTTGGTTGGGAAAAATCCTCCATCTCTTAATTCAGAAGTAGATAACCATTTAAGGAATTTTTCTGCACCTTCAGTTTCTCCAAGAGCCATCATAATAATTGAAGCAAAAACTGCATCTCTAGACCAAACTTTATAATAATATAATGGATGATATGATGCAACAAGAGTTCCAAGAGTTGGGTTTTGAGAATAAAGAAGAGTAAATACACTAGAATACCACATTTTTCTTTCAGCTTCATTTTTAAAAGATGGTAATTTGTAGTGAGAGAACTTCTCATCAGAATATGACTTTAATTCTTGATAGTATGATTCCCATGAGTTATTAATAATTTCTTTTGATATTTCCTCTGCTTCAGAAATACTATTAGCAAGTGCTCTATATGCAAGAATTGAAACTGTACTACCTGCATTAATAATAACCTCTTTTTGAAGAGCTCCAATCATTGATGGAGATGTTTTTGAAGAGACACCATCAAGTCTTCCGTTAGTATTGAAATAATCTACTGGAGTATATCCTGTAGAATCACCAAAAGAAATTGTGTCTGTGTCTACAAGTCCAAAAACAACTACAGTATTTTGATAATTAGTATAATCATTTTTATAGTCAAAGTATAATGCTTTAGTTGATGCAATTGATCCTCCAATAACATTATTTTCAACACTTGAAGAATTAACATAATCAAATAAGTTAAAATTTAATGGAGAATTACCAGTATTAGTTATGTCATATTTTTCAAGAACTATATGTTTATTTGGAACTACCATATATCTTTTAGTTATAGATGCATCAATTTGAAGAGAATTTAAAGCATAGTATTTAATATTAAATAAATATTCTCCTGGATATTCAATACTATTTGATCCAACAAATTGGAATGGGTTTGAAAACTTCTTTCCATTAACTTGAAATGCAAACCCATCACCTTGAATAAGGTTTTGGGTATAACCATTCCCATTCCATCGTAGTTGACAAAGACCAGCTGGTCTACTTCCTTTAAAATTAGCACTATCAACATTTGCACACCATGTTGTAATCATATCTTTAAAATTAGTTAACCCATATGATGGATTAGGTCTCCATGCAAAAGCAAGGGTAATAAGAAGAAGAACAAGCATTTGAAATTATGAGTTGATTTTTATGTTTAAGTAAACAAAAAAAAATTATTCCAATTATTTTCTTTAATAAGGAATCAAATAAAATTAAAATATGATTCTTATTATTAAATGTATTCAATTAACATATTTTTATAAAGAAATTTCTACAAGATTCTAATATTTTCTATCTCTAAAAATGTATTGAATTTTCTTGAAAATTTAATACTTTTATTGTTAATTCTTGTAATGAATCTTGTTTTTAGAATTGATATTCATATGATGACATACATACATTAAAGTTATCGCTCTTTTTTGTTATAAACAAATTATAATTTTAGTCTATTGTTCTATGATATTATTTGAAATATCAGTATTAGTAAGATAAGTATTATTTAATTTAAAAGTATCTTCTTCAAGCAAAATTATTGTTAATCATAACTAATTGATATCAATGAAATTAGGAATAAAAGTACAATTATTTCAAAGAAAAATTCATTTAAATTATTAACATTATATAGCGTTGTGTTATTATTTGAACTAGTAAATTTGTAGAGTATATTAGAATATTATTTTTTAGTAATGATTGGATGATTATTAATTCTTACTTATTTCTTAAATACAAATCTCTAACTAGATAATTAAAGAAAATATATAAGAAGAGTAAAAATATCACAATAATTAAAATAAATTTTTCAAATAAATAGTGTAGAAATTAATTTTCTAAGGTACAACTAAATTACAAATCATTGAGCCACTAATTACTCTTTAATGTTTTAATGGTTATAAATGAAATAAATTGTAGAAATTACAAGTAATAGAAATTAATTTTTTAAAAAGTAAATATCATTTAAAAAAGTATTATCAAAAAAGACAATTAATTAAATAAACGTAACACTAGTTATTATGAAAAAGTAAAGTTAAGAAGAATATGTTTAATTGTATTCAAGAAAGATAAAAGAAAAAAGTAGTAATAATAAATTAGAGTATTTAAAAAGAAATTAATTTATAATAATTTAAATCATTAACACATAATAAATTTGAATGCTTTATGTGAAAGAAAATAATAATTAAAAAAGAAAAATAACACAAAATGCATTTAAATTTGTTTTCAGAACTAATCAGTCTTTGGTTTAGCAAATACAGCTGGACCAATACTTTGAACAGCTAACATAAAATGCATCATAAACCAGAGAAGAATTAAAAGAATGAATACAACAAAAAGAATAGAAAGAGTAGCAGTATTATACCAAGTAGCTGAAGTAATAGTATCTTTTTCAACTAAATGAAGAGAACCATAGAAAGCAACATTAGTGTATTCAGAATTTTGATTAAAATAATTTTTAATAATTTGATCATTTAATTTTAAACGATCAAATGAACCAACGTTTCTAAATGCAATAACTACAAGAGCAGATTTATTAATAGAAGTAAAATCGTCTTGATTAAGTATTTTAACTGTGGCATAATTTTGTGCAAAATTAAATAATGAAGTATCAGTTAAAGTAGCTGAATCAGTATAAAGATAAACATTTCTATTATGAATTTTATTATTTGTAATATTTAATTCTAAATTATTTAAAACATCAACAAAAGAAATTGTAGTAGTTTCAGCTTCAAATGAAGAAAGAGAGTTTAAAGTATAGTTCTAATTTAAATAAGAGATAATGTACTTATAAAAATAAAAGAATAAAATAAAACAAACTCTAAGTGTAGTATAACCATTATATTTAGTAAACTCTTCAAAATCAAATGTATTAATATTATAGTCTATAAAGAATACAACTTGATCAACATCACTCTCAATAACTTTTTCAATATCTAAATTTAATGTTTTTAAATCTAATGTTTTGTTTGCTCCAGTATGAGAAAATGTAAAACTGTTAGAAAATCCAATAACAGGAGCTACTTGTGGCTCTTTAGCAACTACAAAAACGATGAAGAGGGTAATAAATAAAGTCATCTAAATTATTTAAATAAAAGTTCTTTTTTGTTTTTTCAATTTTTGGTTGGTTTTTGTGCTTTTAAATTATTTTTTTAAATTTTAAATGTTTTATAGTAAGTTTAATTGAATTAAAATTACTTTTTTCTTATAAAATTAATAAATAAATAATATAATTATTTTTAATTCTTTCAATTGGCATTATTTAAAGTACTTCTTTTTAATTTACTAAAAGAATTAAAAAAGAAATAAAATAAAAAGAAAGTTAAACCATTCTAACAAATTTTGGTACTAACGAAAATTTGAAGAAGTTGGATGAATATTGTTGTAATGAAGTCATACGTAATCTAGCAGGTTTATTGAACACTAAATTGTTATTTTATTATTTATCAGTAACATCAAGATAATACAACAAACAAAGAAGTTCTACAATATCTTGAATAAATACTTCATTTAATGAAAAATAATTTGTTTGGTCAAGGTCATCTACATCTATAATATCTAACTTTTCAAAAGAAGAATTTAAATGCAAAGAACGTTTTACTTTTAATATAAATTCTAATAAATGAATTGCAGCAAGAGAAGAAGTTAAAGAATATATTGTTGTTCTTTTACAAAGAGTAAATAATGAAATCCAATCTTTCTTATAACGAGAATAATTTATTGTTGGGATATCTATTGGATTAATAACAATTAAATTGTCAATATGAATAGAATCATTTATTAATGTACTCCATAATGAATATGATTTAAAAAGAAATAATAACGTATCAGATGTTGCAATTATACTAATGTGTTGAGTTTGAGTAGAAAGAATTGATTGAAGTAAATTAGAAAATGCAATATGAAGATATGGATCATCATAATCAGGAGTTTCATTATTTTGGGAGAGATGACAAATTATTGGAAAAACAGTTTCTGGGAATTTAGCTAATGCCAAGAATTGTGCAAATTCTTTTTGACGTTGTTCTTTATGAATTGAACCAGTAAGATATATAATAGCAAGTTTTGATTCTTCTTCAAGACCACTTATTTTAATTGCTTTCATTTTTGAATCACTTCTTTTACTTATTCTTAAAGTTACTTCATTTAATTCTTTTGACGAAGAAGAAACGTTAATCATATTCGTATTTTCATTTAATTGTACATTTAATGAATCTATTGTTGAAGTTTCTTTAACACTATGAATATCTTCAATAATATCTCTACAACAAGTACAGTCTCCTATACATTGACATTTTTTACTGTAAATTTGAGTTACTTTTGGTAAATTCTAAAGATGAATATTATTTAAATAATAATTATTAAGAAACAAACATAAAGAATTGTTCCAGAATAACAACACTCAACAGATATTAATGAATAATGAAATGAAATAATTCCTTGATAGAATTTAGAATTAAATGCCATTAAAGTTACTGAATGAATTAATGATCGTTGTCCTATAATTATTGATTCAAATGGACCTACAAGCATTTTATTTCTCCATTCTCCTGTTAATGATTCACCTAACATCTGATTATCAACCCAAACAATAGTTCCTTCCAATGAACTGTTATTTAATTTACCTTCAAGTGTATATTTTTTCTTTTTTCTAGTGAGAAAGTTAGTAGTTTCAAGAATATATCTTCTAAATCCTTTTGATGATTCTTCTACTGAAACAATTGTTGGTCTTAGAAAAATGAATAATGGAATATGTTTTAATATAGTAGAAAAGAATGTTGAAAATAATAATGTAATTAATACGATAATAACTAATATTAATATTGAAAGAATAGTTAATGAAAATGAATTATATGCTTCTAATAAAAAGAATAATATTGTAAACCAATATAATTCAAACATTAAAACTACAATAAAAGGTCTTAAGATATGTAAAGAAAGAGTAATAGAAATGGTCATTACTATCATTATTAATATTTCATTTAACTGTTGAATTAGAAATACACCAAAAGAATTTGTTGTTTCATCTATTGATGATTGTTGATCATTTTCTATTATATTAGTAAAATATTTAATAATTAAACCAAACAAATATCCTCCCAATGAGAGAATAAATAAAAATGATATTTTTCTACTTGTTGTTGAAAAAGTATCTGTACCTAAAAATTTTCTTTCATACCTTCTTTGTGTCATAGTTTTGAATATCTCTTTAACTGATTCTATTTCGTTTTGAGTAATACTTTCTATGTCAATGATATCAACAGAAGATTCATCATCATCTAATGTTGTAGAAGATGATAATTTTAAATTAGAATTCATTATGTTTTTTTTAAAGATCTTCAATTGATTTAATTTCTTCTTTTTAAATCAGTGTCATTATTATTTTTTTTTTGTTATTTTCTATAAGTAACATAAAAATGGTTTGAGTTGTTTTATTTCTTATATCAGATATCAGTTTTATAAAATTATATTTTTCTTATTGAAGATAAATCAAACAGTTCTTTATAAACTCTTTATAATATTATTTTCTATTAAATACGTACTGATCATTTTTATTCATTATGTCTTGACGTATTATAGTATATCCACACTACAATTATTCTAACTGAAAAGAAATTAATAAATATGTTTTTCTTTCCTTATCTATTAAAATAATTCTCATAATAAATTCAAATTCAATTGTGAAACGCATTTCATAGTTGAAATTGAAAATTTATTTTATTTCCTAATTATTCAAAAAACAAATTTTTAATAATACTAAAAGTTAGTTTAATTTTTATTATAAAAATTGTTATTCATAAATTTAAAACCGTTATCCTTTGGAAGTTATAATTTTAATTATCTTATTAGTTCATAAAGACACCCACACTCTAATCATTTAACTAGTACAAGAATGGTGTTTCAAGAAAAAATAATTTATTTAAAAATTAATATTCAAGACATTTTATGTATCTGACAAAAAGGAAGTTTAATATTATAATTAGATAACTCAGTCACTGTTAATTGCTCTATTTGATTTATCTTGAAATACAAGATGAATACCTAGAGAAACAAAACCAAGATAAAGTTCTTTTAAAGTTTTATTGATTCTGTACTTATTTACTAATAATTCAGTGAATATAGTAATGGTATATCCCTATTGTTTATATAGTATTTGATGCTTTTTATTATTTTTGCAAATAAATAAAATTTAATGACTCAATGTTATTTTATTATTTATATTCTTTCTATTAAAATTTACTTTCTTTAACTAAACAGTTATGATGTTTTAAACAATTTACATTAATATTTTTAATAGATGATTCTTTTGTTTAACAATTTTATGAAACATAATAACAAATTAAGAAGTATGAGTTTTTTAAATAATTCTTTTACTACTCAACTAATGATAAAAGCAAATAGTGTTCTTTTATGCCAGACTGTACCGTAGAATTAAGGAAGAATAACAATTCATATCAATTCCAATTTATTTCCTTTCAAATATTAATCCTCATATTCAAAAATAGAATTTACAAAAATGGGAAATTTCAAAAAAAAAGAGAAAAAACTAAAAAGAAAACCAATCCTCTTTTAAAATCAAGACTATGGCATATTATGATGAATCAGAAGAATTATCTCAAAGAGAAATCGAAGAATTAATAGAAGACGTCTTTGGGTTTCTACCTGAAGAAATTGCAGATACATTGACTGAAGAACAAGTTGAAGTTGCACTAGAAAAGAATGATTATGATGTTAAACGTACCATTGCCTCATTTAAAAAGAAAGCAACAAAAACAAAGGTTATAGACAAACAACCACCAAAAATGAAAACACCAGTCCCAATCACTAAATCTCCTCTTCCAAAAAATAAATCAAGTACTCATAAGACTCCAAGTCCACTTCCATCTCCCTCTCCACGTTCAATGCCAACAGTCCAACATTCTCAAAAAAGACATTTAGAAATCATCAACAAAGTAAAAGAAATGCACAAAACAAATCAAACACCATTAACTGTTATTTTCTGTGGTCATGTAGACTCAGGTAAATCAACAACAGTTGGTCATATTTTACAAGAACTTGGAGGTGTTACTCATTCACAAATCGAAAAAAACAAAAGAGAATGTGGAGAAAAAGGAAAGAAATCATTTGAATATGCATGGGTTATGGATACTGATGATGAAGAAAGAAATAGAGGAATTACTATATCTGTTGGAGCTGTTGAATTCCAATATAATCATAAAAATATCAGAATATTAGATGCACCTGGACATACAGATTTTCTTATGAAAACTATCGATGCAATGAATGAAGCTGATGTGGCTGTTGTTGTTGTAGATGTTGATAAACACAATTTAAAATGTACATATGAAGGAGCATTTTTAGATATTGTCTCAACCTTGGCATATTCAACTGTATCAAAAATTATTGTTGCTATTAACAAAATGGATTCAGTAAAATGGAGTGAATCAAAATATAAAAGTGTTGTTAGTGTTGCTGAAGAAGTATTAAAACAATATAGTCTTGACAATATAAATATACGATATATTCCTATTAGTGGACTTTCAGGTGAGAATTTAATAAAACCAACAAATTCATGTAAGTGGTGTCAAGAAAGTTTACTTTCAGTAATTTCTGAAGAGGGTGTACAATTTCATGACATTGAAAAACCACTAAGATTTATTTGTAATGATTCTTATAAACAAGGTAATGGAAGCACTATAACTGGAATCATTTCTTCTGGTGTTATTGGAGAGAAAGATGATATTATTATTTATCCAACTCAAACTCATGGAGTAATAAAAAAAATTAAAAAAGGAAATCAAATTATTGATTGTGCTGGTGCAGGAGATATTGTTGAAATACAAGTTGATGGAACTAACATTAACATAATGAAAGGATATGTTATTGGATCACCAGCTGAACCACCAACTTGTTATAGAAAGTTTCATGCAACTGTTGATTTGAATTGTAGAGATTTGACTATTAGAAGAGGAACTTTAATGTCATTTTATTGTTCAACTGGTTCTTCACCCTGTGTTTTTGCACGAATTTTCTTCTCAGGAATACAAGATGTTAAAGTTAAACCAAAAAAATTAAAAGATGTAATTCAAGCTAATGTAGAGATCATTCTTCAAAAACCATTATGTGTTGATACTCGTGTGAATAATGATTCATTTAGTCATTTCTTCTTAAGGTGTAATAAAATAACTATTGGTAAAGGAGTTATTACAGAATTACGAGGTTAAAATATAATAAATGAGTTTTGAAGTATTACTATTTTATTTAAATTATTTAGATAAAAAAAATAATATTTATGTCCTTAAATTAAAATGCAAAGAAGTGTGTACTTTAAATTAACTTAATTTTATTCAATGTATAATTGTTGACCTTGTGCCCATTTTTTTAAAAGTGTTATTCTCTTTGGTAAATTAAACTTCTTTTCAAAAATTTTCACTGCTTTTTTTGGGACTTTATTCATAAAATTAATGAATCGTTGAGCTAATACTTTTTTTACCTTTAATGTTTGTTTTAATTGTTTTCTATAAAATGCAAGTTCATGTTTAATTTGGAATTGTTCATATTTAGTTAAATGCATTTGATGTAAATTTCTATCATATTCTATATCCCCTCTAATAACTGCTTCTGTTGTTTCAATATCACGAATATCAGCTTCGAGATTTGATAAAATATTTAATACATTGTCTGTTCCCATGTTTTCAAATTTTCGTGATTGTGATAAAACACTTACAACTAATAAAAGAATGAAAAGACTTTTCATATCAATGAAATAAAATATATTTTTTTTTGTTGTTGATTTTTAAGTTATTTTTATTTTTTATGTTTTATTGGATCTTAAAAAATCATTTTAATAAATTAATTAATATTTTACTAAAAAATTTCATAAAACAAAATATACAAAAAATGTTATTGAGATTGAATAACAGAATCCAACCATTTGTTAATATCAATCAACATTTCTTGTTGATTATCTTCTTCTAAAAGAACATGATTAGCTCCAGGATATTCAACATATTTTGAAAGTGGATTTTGAAGATGTTTTGCTTTATTTCTTGCACCTTCTACTTTAATTAATCTATCACCAGAACCATGCATTAAATAAAATGGGACTGTCAAATCACGATCTTTTTCAATAGCACCATACCGTGCCATTTCTAACCCTGTTTTACCAGATGCTTTAGCTGTTAAAGTATATGGATCATTATCATATTCTCGTGCAATTTCTTTATTTGTAAAAATTTCATCAGCTGGATTAGTTGGGATCATTAAAGATGGGAAGAAAAATAGGATTATTACAAATAAATAATATAAGTAGTAAACCAAATTGTTATTAATAACATAGGCAGGTGCTGATGCAACATATGCAGTAATGTCATTTCTTCTACTTGCTAAAATTGATGTAAGTAAACCACCCATAGAATGTCCCATAAAAAATAGAGGGAGTGAAAATCCTCTTTTTGTTATATCATTTTTAACAAATTCAATATATTCATTAAGAGTATTAATATAAGTTTCCATTGAATTAATAAATGTTTTTGGTTTATTAGGAATACCAGATGATCTTCCATGACCTGGAAGATCGAGCATAAAAACATTAAACCCAGAATTAACAAAAAATTCTCCAACTTTTGTATATCTACCAGAATATTCTCCATATCCATGAAGAACAATAATTGTTGCTTTTGCTTCTTTAAGTCTCCATTCCCTAGAATAAATACTAAATCCATTTAATTGATGAAACGTTTCTTTATATTCTAATGTCATTATAAATTCAAAGTTGAAACAAGATCTTACAATTTTTATATTATTTTAGAATTAATGAGAAGAATAAAAGAAGTTTTTGAATTGTTTTGTTTTAATCATAACATCAAAAATAATTATTTTGTTATTCAAAACAACATTAAATAAAATAAAAGAGGTATAAATCAACTGTATAAAAGGATAAAAGAAATAAAAAAGAAGAAAAAGAAGGCATAGAACCACAAAGAATATAGAAGATTCTAATAATTTTAAAAAAAAGATTAAATAATTTTTTTTTAGTGCACTTATTTTAAAAACTCGTTTAATCAGTTAATTCAAGAGAATGAGTGAGAAAGTCTCACAAAAAATTGAAGCAAAAGATAAGTCTGCAGCAGCTGATCTTATAAAGATGAGTGAAGAAGTTCGTCAAGACTTCTCATTAAGTGATACTGAAGATGTTGTTCAATGTTATAAAGTAATAAACAAAAGTAATAACAATAGTATTAAAGGAAAATTATTTATTACACAAAATTACTTTTGTTTTAGATCTCAATATGGAAAGAAGTTATATGTTAAAATACAAATTTCTAGTATTAAAGAAATGACAAATGAAATTAAAATTTATGATAATGAAGGAAGAATGTATTATTTTGTTCCACAGTCACAAGAAGAAGAATGTTTCAATTTAATGTATTACATGTATAAATTCCCTTTTTCTGTTCTAGATTTAAACATTTATAAACAACATACTGTTGATAATCATGAAAATAATAGTCAAAGAAAATTTGATATAGAAACAGCACAAGAAGCATTAGTAACTGCAGAAGAAATGAAAAAAATTAAAGAAGAAAATTATAAATTACTTGAACAACAACAAAGAAAAATTGCAATGATTGATCAATTATTAGATAAAACTGATACTTATTTAGGAGAAATTGATGATAGTATTAAAGCAACAAAATCACTTGTTTATGAATTAAGATTAAGATATACTAAATCAAAACAAGTACCACCTCCAAGAGTAGAAATTCCTGTACTTGTTGAAGCAATTAAAGAAACACCACCAGTTCCAGTTGAAATTCAAATTTTATGGAAATTAGAAAATGATGATTTAGTACCAGCAATAATGAAAATGTTTGATGATCATATTGATATTGTTGAAACTACAGCAAATAAAAAGAAAACATTAGCACGTTCAATTTTAATTCAAGATATTATTGGATTATTTATGAGAGCAAGACCATTACATTTAAATATTGCTTTAAATCAAAGTGGAAAAGAAAAAGGAAGAATTAGACTCTGTTCAACATGTCTTCAATTTATAGTAAATGAAATATATATTAGATATTTAAAAATATTTAATAAACAACTAAGTGTTACATTTGAACCAAATTCACAAGTATTTGATTATGGTGATATTATGATTACAAAAACATTTATGAATTGCTCAGGTATTAAAGGACAAATTAAATTTACTGAAGAAGAAGATATGGCATTAAGAGTATTAACTGGAAAAGATCGTGAAGATTATTTAGCAATGAAGAAGACAAATCAAAAAACAGTGAAATTCTTGACTCTGTGCTAATAATTAAATATTAAAACTACAAAGATGGCTGATGATTCTATGAACGCTGTAACAGATGTTACTGATAGAATGAATGCACAAAGACAAATGATTATGGAACGTAAAAAACAATGTGATGAAATCACAAAGAAATAATTCATTTATAATTTTTTTTTTTAATTATTTCCAAATTTTAATTATTCCATCTCGTGAAGCACTACACAAATAATATGATTGAGCTGAAGGTAACATTGAAAGAGCAGTAATTGCATCTAAGTGATGATCGTTATCACTTATTCCAATTCCTCTTTTCTCTCTCTCAACTGGGAAACATTTAATACAAGTAATATTATTTTCATTTAATACTTCAAATGTTGGTGGTTTTTTAAAATCACCAACAGCATATGACAAATTATTTTGATTATCTTCAACATCCCAAAATCTTAAAATATGATCACTTCCACCTGAAATAATAAATCTGTCAAATGCTATTAATGATGTATTTATGAAATAGGGTAAATAAATATGATTATTATTTTGTGCAATACATTTTTGAAGATTTTGTAATAAATTATCTAGTTGTTGTACTCCATAATCATCTGGTCCCATACTAAATGATGGTTTAAATCTACTTCTTTCAACTTTTTCAATTATACTACTTAATTCAGGTATTTCTGTTCCGAAATCTTCAAAATGAAGTAATGACTTCAAATTTTGATTCTTAATATCCCAACAAAAAACATCACCATCTCTTGTATTAGTTGCTATATTTTCTTCTTTAATAAATACAATTTCTGTAATTGCTGAATGAGTTGGTACTCTCCATCCAATATTTGCAATTGTATGTCTTAAATCCCAACAAACAAGATAACCTCTATTAGTACCTATAATACAATATTCTCCACTTGGTGCAACAGCCATTGCAGAAACATATCCTAAACGTGCATCATTTTCTTTTCTTATTCCTACTGTTTTATCTCTAATATCCCATACTGCTAATGTACCATTTTCACAAACAATAGTAACTGCTTTAGCGTCTGCATTCTTTTGAATAGATATAATTTTTGATCCAAGGGATGTACTTTTTATTAAATTCATTGACATCACAGTTGATTTTTTTCCTTGTACACAAACTCTATGTAATTCAATAGTACCATCTCTATATCCAATTACAATACCATTACTTCTTGCAATAGTTCCAATAGAACTTACACCACTTGGACCTTTATAAGTAACTTTAGATCTCATAACTTCAAGAGACTCTACTCCAAGAATATCCCATACCTTAACAATACCAGTAGAATCTCCTGTTACAAAGAAAATTCCATTTGAACCAACACTAATTGATGTAATTGGTGCACGATGTTCTGTGAGATGAGCAACACAAATTCCTTGAATTATTTCATGTTTTGGTGATGGAATTTCAGAATCAATAAATCCAAGATCAGGAATACTACGTAGACGTGGTGGAGCTGAACCTTTAACAACTGTAAGATAACGAGAACTATCACGTGGACATGGAGTATTTGGGTTTTGCATTGGAATATAAGTATGGTTTGGATCATCTGGATTTACTCCCCATAATGGTAATTGTTGATGAACTTTTAATTCATCTGTTAAACGACTAATTGAAGTTTGTTGTTGTAAACTCAATCGAGGTACATGTTCTTTTACTGCTATCAAATAAGGAATTAATTTACTTAAACATTTATCAGGATTAGTTACTCCTGTATTTTCTAATTTAGTTACTATATCTTCAACATGCATTGTTGATGAAAAATCATTTCGGTCAAATGACCTTAATGCATTTCTTGGAATTGAACTTAAAAGTGATGCATTAATATGAGATGCTGTAATATTAAACAATTTAATTCTTAACATACCATTAACATGAGGTAATAAGAAACAATGACGTTGAGCATCACTCAATTTTGAAGCAATAACCTCAAGTAATAATGCTGTACTTTGACGTAATGTAATATTAGGATGAACTAATAAAGGACAAATAGAAGGAATAATACTATAAATGTAACTTCTTGAAATAATATCAAGTGAAACACAACTAGTAATTGAAAGGAGAGTTTGATAAACCAGATATTCATGAGTACTGTAAAGATATTGTTGTAATAATGGATAGAAATGTAACTCAAAAACTTTAGTTCCATATACTTTACCAACTAATGGAATTTGTTCTAAGAAATAAACAATTAATATTGGATCTGATTGTTGGAATTGAGTAATATATTGGAGTAATTCATTATAACTTTTCTGATACCCACAGAATAAAGTTAAAGCGGAATATGACTTAATTAAATTTCTTGTTATATGGAAATTCTTTTTTAAAAGCATTTGTTTATATGATTCTAAAAAGAATTTACATAAAGTTTCATGTTCAGAAGCTTTCATTGAGCCATCTTCTTCTTTTAATGATAATTTTTTTGATAATTCTAAAAGTTGTGAAAAATATGAAGCGTAAGTAATTGTGAATGACATATTTTGTTGATTAACAATAGTTTGTTCAATAGCTGGACAAATATAATTTGGGAATAATAAATGTGCTGATGAAGGAAGTGTTTTCACATATTTTAAAGCTAAAACTAATGATTTTAAACAATGAGATTTAATTGGATTACTTGAAGTACCAATAATTAAATCTACTAATCCAGGTGTAATGATCATATAAAGTGCTTCATCATCAGAGTAATGAATTAAAATATCAACAATTGAAAGTATTTTTTCTAAAACATTTTCACGAGTTCTTCTAATACTAAATAATATATAAAGAAGAATACTTGTACTTATAAATGGTTCTTCTTGTTTATTAAAATATTTTTTAGTTTCTTTAATTTCATTTATAATATTTTCTTTTTCATCAGAAACTGTTATTTGTTCTGTTAATTTTTTCATTGAATTTAAAGCATCTGATCTTGCTTTTAAATCACTCCATTGTCCACTTAATAATACTTCAAGATGTTTATGTAATTCTTCTGTTTGATTAGTTAATTTATCTAATTCAACAGCAAGTTGAGAAGAATGAGATAAAGTAGCTTCATCAGGAATACTTTGAATTTCTTTTTCAATTATTTCTTTTGGAATATTTGGTTTTTCTATCTTTAATTGTTCACGAATAAAAGAAATAATATCAGGAAGAACAAATTCTGCTGAGTTTTGTTGTGAAAGATATGATAATTGAAGTAGTGAAGAAAAATATGATGGGACGTTCTTTTCACAAATTTCAAAACATTGTTGAGCTGTAGGACGTTTTTCAGGAGTAGCGTCAACCATTAAAAGAATTAATTCACGAATAAAATCAACTTGAATACCAGAAAGAATATTGGTTATTGAAAATTTACCATTTTTATAATCAAGAATATTACTAACATCAAACAATGAATTTTCAAGGAATAAATAAGCTAATACACATCCTAATGAAAATATATCAGCAGATGGAGTAGTTTCAGTAAACATTTTATCAACTTTAAGATTTGGTTGAAAACGTTCAGGTGCAATACATGTAGAACGATTAAAAAAGAAATTTAAATCATAAGGATTATCATCAGGAATATAAAATGGTTTATAAGGAGCAAAATCAGAAAGATATGGAGTATTTGAAGATGTAAGTAAAATGTTTTCAGGTTTAATATCACCATGAACAATATTTAAGGAATGTAATGAATTAACTGCATTTATAAGTTGATAAGCAATAAATAATTTTTCTTGTAATGTAAAGAATGGTGCTGTACGAACACGATCAGCTAAGTTATATGGAAGATATTGACGTTGATAAATAATAATACTTCCATTTTTACCAGCTTTTTTTGTTACAAAACCAAGTAATCCAGTGACATTTACGATTGATTTATTAACAGTATGTAATCGTTGAAGAAGTTCATTTATTTTATCTCCGTCTGATGGTTGAACTGAATACAATTTTGTAACTAATACTCTTCGGGAACGAGTATCTCTTGCACGAACTGAATGAGTAAGTAAATCATTTCCGATATTTTCTACTTCATCAAGACCACAAGTGTCCGTAAGGTCTAAAGAGTTAAGTACATCAGAAGATGTTGATAGTGTGTTTCCCATAAAGTTTTAAGATGACTTTTTATAGTTTTATTTTTCTATTTTATAGTTTTATTCAAAGTTCTATCATAATAAACAGTTCTTTTTTAAAGAAAACTAAAAAAAGAAGAAAAAAGAAACTGAAAATGACCAGTAAAAATTTTAAGAATGGCAACAGTACAAAGAGAAAAACAAACACCTCAATACCAACGACAATTAATGCAACAAACATATGAAGATTCAAAAATGAAAGGAACACTACCACAAAGCATTGAAGAATATGGACTTTCAGGAGTAGAAATATTATTAAGTGATAGTAATGAGCAAACAATTGATTCATTATTAATGAAAGGTATTGATTTAAATTCACTTGGAATTGATCTTTCTACTCCTAAACATATATGTGGATCATTTAATACACCATTTCCATCACTAAAGAATAGTATTCCAAATTATTATCATATTGAATCTAAAGAAATTAATGACCCTGGAGAAAGAATTGGTGTATTTAAAAATGAACTTATTTTGTTTTATATGTTTTATGTAATGGTTGGAGAAGAAAGTCAATTAAAAGCAGCAAAACAATTAATGGAAAAGAAATGGCGGTTTTCAAATAAATATAATAAATGGGTAATTCAAACTCCAAATGGGTGGATGGAATTTGATAGTACAAAATGGACGATTGTTCCAGCATTATCATTTAATCCATCACAAGCAGATTTTATGACTCTTTAGAAATGTAATTTTTTCATTGAACTTTTTTTAATCATTAGCTTTTTCTTTATTTTTGTTTTTTTGTTTTTGTAATTTTTAAATGAAAATCTTTTTCAGTTAAAAACGTTTTTCATTCGTTTTTATTCTATGACCATTAACCTTAATGATTTTCTTCATGACGGATTTCTTGATATTTCTCTTCTTCATATTTCTCAATTTCCATTAACTTCACAATACTGTATTGAAAATGAAGTTACTGGACTAAATGCTTCTTCAAATAATTTTATATCAATTAGAGATCTCAGAGAATATGTCATGTTAAAAGAAATTGATTTATCATTTAATAAATTAAATGCCATCCCTTTTGTTCCACCATCATTAAAAAAATTAAATATTAGAAATAATGAATTATATCAATGTAATTCTTTTAGTACACTTACTCAACTTAATATTTCTCATAATAATATTGCTGCTATTCCTCCAATGAATCATTTAATGAATTTAGATTGTTCGTTTAATAGAATATTTTCATTTCCTCCTATTTTGTCATTAACTTCTCTAAATATTATTTCAAATCAATTAGTTTCATTAGATCTTTCTCATGATTCATTAATACAATTAAAATGTTCAATGAATAAACTAACTAGTGTTATATTAGAAATAAAATGTTTAACTTTTTTAGATATTTCAATAAATCCATTAAAACATTTAGATATAACAAAATGTATCTCATTAAAT